TCTTGAAAGACTACTTACAAATTGTGAGCAGGATAATTTCCAGAGTCAGACCGTGGACTAGATATATACCCAGACGTTTCTTCTTTATGCACCTGCGACCAAGGTAGAGACCTTTCATGGTTAAATGTTTTTGGGTGATTATTTGTGAATAATGGTTTCTGACCCTGACGTTATCCGTCATATGACGGATGAAATCTCAGCACGGAGTTATCGGGGTCGTAGGATGGTGAGCCGAGGTCTTGTTCGCACAATTAAACAGAAAAAAGTCCTAGACGACCCTCCTTCGGTATCCAATGTGGCCAATTTACGAATCCCTTCCACCCGCCTCCACAAACAAAACGAAAGGTATGCCAGCATTAAGGGCCACACCATTTTGGTCATCATTACCTTGATGCTATTAGAAGTGGGTTGACCTAGTTGTCGCAACTTGGTCTTGTTGTCAAGGCGACTTAGTAGAACGCACCTAGTCCGAAGTCCTCTGCCATAGTAGTTATCATAATTCCCAGCATCAGAAAGTGGGCTTGGTACATTCTCAAACGTTTCGCCGGCATCGTAATCAGCATTATCAGTGAGTGCTGCCATTCTCCGCACCAAGTTTGTCTCTTTGACGAGTTCGTAGTTTGGTGCGGAGAATGAAAGCACTCTCTGATGATGTCGACTACGATGCCGGCGAAATGTTTGAGAATGTACTAACTACTATGGCCGACGACTTCAGCCTAGGTGCATTCTACTAAGTCGCCCTGACAACAAGACCAAGTTGTGACAACCCACTTCTATAATTCGAAAGGAGACTGCGACCATACCGGAGGCCACACCATCTTGGTCTTCATATCTTTGATGCTATTGTCTAGGAAAGGGAAGACGATTCCTTTCTGATGTAGCAACTGGCACAAGAATGTATGTCAGTGTGGCACTGAGAAAGAGGTAATGAGATGCTTTATTGCCTTTTCTGCATTTCTGTTAATCTACCCTGCAGACGGTTGCGAGGAGATGATCCCGACGGCGGTCCCTCGAACGGTCAACCAGGTCGGCCGGCCTCGTGAGGCACTGCTCAAGGCGGCCGCCCTGTTGGCTCTCTGTATGGGCCGTTTCACCGACGTCTACACTCTTTTGGCGGGCGCCGTCTACTCGGCCGGTCAGCATGGCAGTCTACAACAGCTCTGGTATCGCACGCATTACGCCGAGGCGGCGGCTGTTCGCGGCCGTGAACTGGGCGCCGTGGACAAGTACCGGCTAAGACGGAAGCACCCGTTGCCACGAACTATCTGGGACGGGGAGGAGACCGTCTACTGCTTCAAGGAGCGGTCGCGACAAGCCTTAAAAGACTGCTATGCCGTCAATCGGTATCCGACGCCAGAGGAGAAGCGAGGCCTAGCCAGCAGGACGGGACTGACAATGACGCAGGTCGACCCTCAACCGAACAGAATTTTAATGGGCAACCCAGCTGAAATGGGCATTTATATCACAAAAATTATGTAGGAGAAGAGACTAAAAAGTAGTGCAGAGGACAGTGTGATACTATTAAAAGGATAAATAAAACGACCAACAGGGCCATCGCAAAAATAAGGGGGGAGAGGGGGAGAAGAAAAGCTGGGTTTACAAGTGTCCCATAGTGGTTTGGTGTGACTTGACATTTAATTTCGAAGCAAAGACTGCTGGATTGTGTCAACAAGTCCTCGGTTAGCCGTTCCTCTGGTCCGTAGGACGGTGGACCGACGACCTCTTCACACAACACAACAGTCTTTATTCGCAAGCAATCCTCCTTCGGTTTCCGATGAAACCAATCCACGAATTTCTTCCGGCCAATATTTGTTTTAAACGGAAATTCAACTCACACCAACATGAATGCGACTCAAAAATGGTCCTAATCATATACACACTAGTTCAATAGGTCTGCTAAGGTCAACAACCTAGACCAATTTAATTTCGGGATTGCGCATTGCTCGAAATTATAACGGGTGATTTAATAGCCTGATTTACACATGTGCAAACGAAAACACAGGCACAACTCATCTCATCTCATCTCATCTCATCTCATCTCATCTCATCTCATCTCATCTCATCTCATCTCA